CGTGACCTGGGGGCCGCCCTCTCTCCTGACACCCTGGACACCCATGGGAAACTCGCCCTGCTGCCCTCCCTCCCTCCTCCCTCCCACCCTCTCCCCTGCCCAGTCCGTACTCAGCCAACTCCTCCAGGCTGCGGTAGACGTCATCGTCATTCTCTGCCGTCTCCTCCGAGGGAAAAGGCCTGCAGGAGAGAAGAGGCAGGAGGTGAGCCAGTCTCCGGGCCTGCCTGGAACCCACACCAGTGCCCTGCTTGGCTGCGCCAGGAGGACTCGTCCGCTCCCTCCGAAGGGAACAGCATCCGATTGCATTGCTCTGTGTCACGGAAGCTCACCAAGGGCAGGTGCCATGACCTGCTCAGCCCTGGGCCACAGGGTAAGTCACTCCTGCCCCAGACCCCAGTGTCACCGTCAGCAGTCACACTTCAGGGGGATCCTGGAAACGGTATGTGGGCTCTCCTGACACCTCAGGGTGGGAGGGCTGCCGGCTCATCACCCAAGCAGAGGAAGTGAGAGGGGATTCCAGAGGGACCGGTGGCTTCTGGGGCACCGAAGGTGGGAGGGTGAAGGGGACTTCCCAGTCCCCTGATGCCCATGAGGACGAGGATGGCTCTCACCTGCCTCCACCCCCCATCCCACAGGGCTGGAGGTCTGGAAGAGTCTGGAAAAGTGCTTGGACCTGCTGTCATGGCTGCCTGTGCAAGGACCTGCTGTCTCCCCTCCTGGGAAGGAAATTCCAGGAGCAGGAGCCCCGTGGGGACATGCCCTAGAGGCGCATGGCAGTCCCCACAGAGTGGACAAGTCGATGGCTGGGGTCACCAAGATCCCTCCCCATGGCCGTGAATGTCATCCACTAACAACCGTCCTCCTCTCCATGCAGCAGCAGGGTCCCTCCCTCCTGGACCCCCACGTGTAAGTCGTCCCTGATGCCAACACCCGCTGCCCCTCCACGTGCCCCAGGAGGGGTCAGCATGTCTTTACGGTCACTTCCTCATTCCTGTCCCCTTCCCCCACCAACTGGTACTGCTCTCATGAAGTGTGACAGCGACCTCCATGCTGTGA